CCAAAAGGCCAAGGAAGATCTACTGACCTGGTCTAGACAGTTGATCTTCTCGGCGGGATACACTCCATACCCACACCTGGAGCAAGCCTGCACGTTCATCCCGACCCGCCTGGGCAGAGGACAGAGGTAGGTGACAGGCAAGGAGTCCAAGGAGAAGCCCCAGTCTAGTTGTTCAAGGCTCCAAAATCCCGACCACTGTCAAACTCTGGGGGCACCCTGACGGTTCTGAATCCAACTTCCACTTTCCTAGGCTGACCTTCTAGTTCGAAGTCAGCAGCAGGACGGTTTTTAAAGCTGCCACTTACTCAAGGGGCTATTTTGGCGACACGCTCAGCACGCATGCGTCTGGGGAGCGAGGTGGAGGTATTTCTAGCTGACACGCTTCTCTAAATAGAAAAGTGAACTCACACGGCATCATGTTTGTGTGGATGACCAAATCCCGGGGTATGATCGGGCGGCACGGAGTCGTTTCACACTGTCTGTGATCATCAACCAAGAAAAGAACCCTGGAGAAGACCGCACACCCTCCCCCGGTGATCAAATTAGAAGAGCTTGCTGGGTGAGCAGGATGACTATCACAGAAAGGCCAGCTCCCAAAATATAGGAAATAAAACAGGACCGAGTCATGCCACGGGAAGGGTAAATACCACATCTGAATCTTAACTTCATGTATTAAAAATATTGACAACTGAATGCTGATAAGATATTAATCTGTGTTTAGTTCTGCTGGAATGCAAAAAAATCAGAATAAATGAGAACCCTTGGTGTTTGGGGCTTTTATGTTATTGTTCCAAAAAGGCCTGTTGATTTCCTCACCTCTCAGGCCTGAAGGAGGGGCGGCTTGAAAGCAGACCTCTCCCTGGCTTTGTGAAGCCTCTCACTGCCTTCAGTGTCTACCTAAATGTTAGCCTAAAATGGACCTTCTAGAGACAGCAATTCATGCCTCAACAGCAACAGGAAAAAGCAAGAGCAGCGGAAGGCCAAAGACACTGTTTTTGTGCCACGTTTCCTTCTTTCATTTTTCCAACCCTTCTTAGCTTGTATGCCATACGAAAATGCAGCCCACAGGCCATCGTGTGCCAACCCCTGGTCTAAGAGGTATTGCTCACAGGACATCAGGAGCAAAGAGGCCACAGTTCTCTTGGGGAGGCTGGTGGGGAGGGGGAAGGCAGAGAAAGTGATCAGGAATTGGTTCAGCCCCATCTGCAGCTGGATCCTTACTCAGGCATGAACAAGACTATCCAACTGCTGTGATTGTCTTTTCCTGTTCCAGGGAACTATGACATACTGGCGGGGGGCATGAAGCATTTCCACTGAGTCGAGAAATGGATATTCCCCCTGCTGAAGAGGCATAATCAGAAATGAGGTGGCCCTTAGAATGGTCTATTTATCTGGGTCATCAGGAGAGAAAAACCACACAGTAATCTGAACAGGGGAAGGTTCAGGGGAATATAAAAAAGTATTACCCATAATAGGAAATTGGAAAGCAAGAGACTGGCTAGTAAGAAGTAAAGAGAACTCTAAAAAATATAGCGACTGCAGATACGCTTGCAGGTAACATATGCATTAGTTTGCTAGGGCTGTCACAACAAAGTACCACAGACTAGAGTGCTAGAAATCACAGTTCTGAAGGCTAGAAGTCCAAGATTAAGGTGTCAGCAGGGTTGATTTCTTCTAAGGCTCTCTCCATGGCTTGTAGATGGCCATCTTCTTCCTGGGTCTTCCCTCTATATCTGTGTTCACATCTCTTTTAATAAGGACATAGTGGATTAGGGCCTACTCTAATGATCTCATTTTTACCTCTTTAAAAGTTCTGTCTCCAAATACAGTCATAGTATGAGGTTAGGACTTCGACATATGAATTTGGGGGGTGGGGGTATGGAGCACAATCCGGCCCGTATTAACATAACATAACATCACAGGCCACTACTGTTAGAGCTGAGGACCTAAGGAAGAGCCTCTCAAATTCAAACCTTATTGGAGAGTGTGGCCTAGATGGCAGAGAAGTCACTGTGGTGCCAACCAGGGGAACTTGCTAGAAATGTGTTCTTTAGAACTTTCTGAAAATCTACCCTCTAGGTGCCAGAGAGAGCTTATTGTAGGAAGATATTTCAACGGAGGCACTCTGCTACAAAACCACTTGAAGGAGGGGCCAGGGAAGTTGCTGCCTACTGGGTGCTGTTGGCCACCAGGCACAGCAGGAGCTGGACACTGGGAAGCCAGGTGTGCTGTAAGAACCTAAGAAGCCACCCCTTCTGCAGGAGCGTGCTAGGACAAGCAAAACCTTTTCCTCCTGCACACTCTTTCCGGCGCCTCCTACTCACAGGGCTTAACATGGGACCATAGGCAAAGATAAACTATTTAAATGGCCCAGTTTAATTTTCACAATACAGACCAAAAGTGTGACTTTGATGCTGAGAGGCAATCAATCTGTAAATACAACATGATACAACATGAATTCCTCTTTTGGTGGAAGAAAAGAATTTGGTCTGGACCCTGAGCTCTGCACTCTTCCCACTTGAAGAAGCCTGCTATTGCCTCAGTTGGCATTTATTAAAAGTGGCATTTATTTTATTTTATTTTTAAGATTTTTTTATTGATTTTTTTTTTTTTAAGAGAGAGAGGAAGGGAGAGGGGGAGAGAGAAAAAAAATATCAATCAACTGCCTCCTGCACGCCCCCTACTGGGGATCAAGCCCACAACCTGGGCATGTGCCCTGACCTGGAATGAACCGCCAGCCCACGAGTAGGTGGGACAATGCCCAACCTACTGAGCAACACCAGCCAGGGCAAAAGTGGCATTTCTTTTAATTGTGGAATATCCTTCGGTGGAGTCCTTTAAAACCTGGCCTAAGCTATTTATGCGAACTGGAGAAACAGTCACTGGTGGCACCCCTGAGGTGCACTGTGTCCAGCAGAATGAAGGTGAGGGACTCACCAGTGTTAGCAGCAACAGCCTAGTGACCAAAAGGAGCTGGCAAGATTCAGGGGGACTCGCCTAGGAGCACCCATGAGGCCGACCCTTGGGAAATCCTCTGAATTGTGAATTTGGGCTTTTTCCCAGGGTGAGGAGGAAGACTCGAACTGTAATCGTGTGTGGATGGGAAAGAAGCATAAAACAATGATATGGGCCAAGGCTGGGAAGACACAAGAAATACAGTTAGAATATCACGTATTAGGAAGAAGTTCAAAATTATTTCTCCCCTTTCATATACCCACAATTTTACTTGTTAATATTAAATTTTATTTGTTGATAATCTAGCCTTAGGTTGACACCTTTGGGGTTCCCCACACCAGCCCACAATAAAGATCTAAAAAAGGGCCCCGCTGGGCGTGGCTCAGCGGTTGAGCGTCAGCCTAGGATCCAGGAAATTGTGGTTCGATTCCCGGTCAGGGCACATGCCTGAGTCGCGGGCTCCATCCCCAGTCGGGGGCGTGCAGGAGGTAGCCAATTAATGACTCTCTCATCATGGATGTTTCTATCTCTCCTTCTCCCTTCCTCTCTCTGAAATCAATAAAGATATATTTAAAAAAAAACTAAAAAAAGAGAACTCCTTCAAACCATCTCTCTGTCTGAGCCAGCAATAAATTCATGTGTTCAACACATTTTAACATTTCCATGATATAATTTATGATAAAGTCTTGTGGATGGAAAGTTCCTTATTTTTCCAGGCAACAAGATCTTGGTTCTGCCACTAGCAAACCTGTGATATGGGCAACTTCTCTGAGCCTCAGATGTTCTATATAAAGTGAGCAGAGAGATGATCTGTTAAGGGCCCATTCCAGATCTAGCATTGTTTTACTCTATTTCAGAAATAACCTGCAAAAACTTAAAATGTTAGGAGTTTTCATTAGGAAATGAAAACTATTAGGAGTTTTCATTTCTCAAAGGATTCATTGAATTCCTTAAGAAGCAAATTTATCTCAGGTTACCCCCAACATTTCAGAGTCCTACAGCCTGTCTTAGTCTGTTTCAGCTGCTATAACAAAAATACCACAGACTGGGTAGCTTATAAGCAACAGGAATTCTCACAGTCCTAGAGGCTAGAAGTCCAAGAGCAAGGTGCAAGCATGGTCAGTTCCAGTGAAGGCCCTCTTCCCAGCTGCAGAGGACTCTCTCTCTGTGTCTTTACATGGTGGAAGGGGCTAGGAAGCTCTGTCTGGCCTCTTTTATAAGGGCATTAATCCCATTTGCCAGGGCTGCACCCTCATGATATAAGCACCTCCCAAAGGCCTCCTAACACCATCACACTGGGCATTCGGTTTCAAGTATGAATCGGGTGGACACAAATATTCTGCCTATAGAACAGCCACATTGGGAACAGTGTAACTGCCTGTTAAAAATATTCTGGAATTCGGGATTTTCACAGACGTTCATAAATTATAATTATTCTTTTACACTTGCCTGGGACCAGTCTTTCTTAAACCAAGAAAGCGTCCTTACCTGGTGAGATTTGCGAGACAATACTAAAGTCTCAGGCCCAGAGGAAAGCAGGCAAGCAAAAAGGCAAGGTGAGGTTCTTGCCTGATGGCACACCACGAAGGTTTCACTCCTTTCGCTCAAGGTGTTGATAGTTCTTCAAAAGCAAGTATCTCTGATAGGAATAAAACTAATTTCTTCTCAAGTAGTTACACCCCAATGTGCCTCAGTGGGTTAGCTGCTCCCCCGAGGAGTCCTGGAGAGAAAGGCACGGGAGCCTCCGCTGGAGGCCCGAGGGTGAAGAAAGACGCGTGAGCGCGAGCGGGTGTGCGCCTGTGCGATGCGGGGAGCTAGCACCTGCGGACGTGCCCTGTCTCACACTTAGGNGGGGCACCTGCGGACGTGCCCTGTCTCACACTTAGGCTTACTCAGGGCTGCAAGCCCGGGGCTGGCACGTGAGGGCGCTCAATAAATGTCATGAGTGACCGGTGCCACACCCGAGGGAGCGGGCAGCGGCTGGGCGTGGAGACGATCAGAGAGAGTGGGAAGGGCGACCTAGCGCCGCTAGCGAAGGAAGGGGTGCCAGCGGGCGAAAGAAGTTCTCGGAAGCTTGGAGGCCTCGGCACCGCAGCGCATCCCGCGGTGCCAGGCCGCGGGGGCTCCGCTTTGGAAGAAGGTAGTTTCTGCAGACGCGGCGCCGAGCGCGCCCCCCTCCCCCGGGTCGCGAGCCGCACAGACTGGGGCCAAGGGTCCGTCTGGGTGGGAGCTTTAAGGCTCAGTCCTCTAACTGGTGCGGACGCCCCAGTCGAGGTGTAGTCTGCGGGCAGCAGCGGACGGGCGTGGGGGGAGATGGGAGGAGGGGCGGCGGGACTCTGAAGAGCGCCCCGTCCTCGAGCCCGGGAAGCCCGCCGGGCGCGCTCTCCCATGCGCTGAGCCCCGGCCGCTTGGTGCGGCAGGGTCGCGGAGCTCGCTCTCCCGGGCACTTTGCGCCGGGCCAGTTCTGCACCGTGCGCCCTCCTGCGGGCCGTAGGCGGGGCGGCGGGATCTCACGGGTCTCTGCAAACTGCCCCGCGGGCGCTCCCGTACTGGCGGCGACTCTGCGGAGGGAGATTCCAGGGGACTTCGTGCGCGGCGGCCGGGGACACTGCGCGCCGCCAGCTTTGCAGAAGGCGCGACCCATTTTTCACTGGGTTCGCCTCGCCCTCGCCCTTCCCCCGGCCCCGAGACCCTGCGCCCCGGCCCCGAGACCCTCGCCCCAGCGCGGCGCTCAATGGCCGCGTGAGCTCTTCCGGGACTGAGCGAACTAGTCAACTTGGGGCGGCACCGTGCCTGGCGGGGCGGGGCGGCGCGGGGCGACGCACTACGCA